TTTTATTTATATTTTATTTATATTATTTTATATTGAGAGGAGTGTTTGATTATAATAAAATAGAGAAAAATTGTTTTTTACATTTGAAACTATTTTTATAAACTAAACTCTCAACTCTAGGGGATATATGGAAGGTGGGTACATATTCTTCTTTTATCTATGGGTGGGTAACTAGTAACGGGCGTTTTTCAATAGGATCATAAAAGATATTAAAATATTTTTTTATCTTGATTGGACACGTAAACCGTCCTGCATAATATTGTCATAGTTACTGTCCCGCAGGCCGACACAATAAACAGAACTGTGCAGGTCCGTCATTTTAGAAAGGTAATATAATATTTATATTATATTTATATTTATATTTATTTATATTTATATTTATATTACGGATATAGGATTAAATTTAATAATCACAGAAAATAAATTATCTAAATTGAATTAATTACAGTAAAAAATGTTATAAAACTCAAATAGTTTAATTAAGGCTTGTAGATCTTGAGTTTCTTCTTATAGTAAAACAAATCCTTTAAATATCCGTTATGCAATTTTTATATTAAGAGCAGTATCAAAAAAGAATAATATGAAAATAATTGTAATGATAAAATACTTAAAGTAGAAAAATGTTAAAATAATTTCGAATAAAAATTAGAAAAAGTATGGAAAAGAGAAAAAATAATTGTAACTGTTGGAAAAAAAAAGTATTATTTATTATCAGTAGGCATTTCATTTTCAAAATAATGTTTGATATCGAAATTGGCAAACCCAGAAGTATCGTAGAAACTTTGAGCTTTAAATTGACGACCATTCAATTTCCTAATATGTAGTGGGAGTAGATTAAAAAGCTGTACTCCTTTTCCGTCTATGGTATTAAAACATGTTTCAAGTTTAAAAGTTGGTCCTTTTATAGTCAAATTTCTTGTTTTATAATTGGAATTCAACATGGAGAATAGGTTGAAGTGTTCAGGATCATTCTTTATGAATGACAACGTAATTAGCAAAAATATACAGGGAACAGTGAGAATGTTAAATTGTCGGAAAAGATTCCTACATGAGGACATATTATACTACCATAAAATTTCAGTTTGCATTATTATTATTATCAACTACTCCTATTCTATTTTGTTTTAAATTTATCAATCTTTGAGAATGTGCAAAAATTTTTGTGATTGCTAAATTGTCTGAATAGTTATTTTAATTAATATAAAAATGACACATGGGATTAATTGTAACAGAACCTTGGGGCTAGTTGTACCATACAAGAATTATATACAGATTCAAGTTAAAAAATGGTTTGTATTTATAGTTTGTAAGATGTAGGCAAATGTAATTTGTTTCACAGAAGACACTATATCTTATGTTTGTATAATAATAATAATAATTGTAGTTTACGTTGATTTATGAAAAATTACTTATTGTTAGAATCAAGTCAATCAATCATTTCTTAAAAATGATTTACCCAAGGCATTATTGTCACTATCTTGTCGTTACTACTTACTTGGGTAGACTCACTTTTTCTAGAAAATTATTAATTGTGAATTATTGAGCAACAGTTATATAATTATTTTGACTTGATTTGTTAGAGGAATAGGAACAGCAACTATCCATCTTTATTTCGAAGAAATATAAACATTGGATTTCATCCTACATTAGTTAAAAAAAAACTGTTACAATCTGTCCCTAGCACCCCTATATAAAAATCAAATTATGCTTTAATTAAAAATTATAATTAAATACACCTCGAGTTATAGGTGTTCATAATTGTCCGTATGAAGAGTAAAATTTTATTTGCCAAACTAAAAAAAGGAACTAATTCGTTTTCTCCTTAGGTGTTTGTCATCGGTAATCTTCTTTCAATCTTTATGTTATGATTTAATAGTAAGACAAAATTATGAAATAAAACTAGTGGTGCGCATGGCATCGTGCCTTAAGGCAAATTGCTGGAACTTCCCGTACCAAAATTTTTTTTTTTTTTGAAAAGATTAACATTTTTGAAAAAAATTTACTCTGAAAAAAATAGATTTTTGAGGAACTATATAAATTTTTGACAAAAACTTACTTTTTGTTGAAAAATTTATTTTGAAATATTTTGGAAATTCTGAACTTTTTAACTTCCCGTAGGGTAAGTTATAGTAATCGCAAAAAAATCGAAAATGAAAATTTTTATATATCTTTACGTTTCAGAGGTTTCTGAACATTTTGGCATACCTTAGAAAAAATGGATGTATGTGTGTGTGTGTGTGTGTGTGTGTGTATGTACGTGTGTGTATGTATGTGCGGATACAAATTTTCGTCGACGATTTCGGGAACACGGATCAACCGATTTGAATAATTCAAAAAGCATTCGATTCCTATTGATAAGGAGACGTGCTGATTAGTTTTTGGCGAAGGCAGGTCTAGCCGTTCCGAAGATACCGGGCAAAAAGTGCCGAAAACGGTAACTCAGTTTTTAAGAGAACGAAGCGTCCGATTTTAATAATTCAAAAAACATTTTACTTGTATTGACAAGATGAAGAAGTGATCAAATTTTCATGAGGGCAGGTCTAGCGGTTTCGGAGATTTAACGAAAAAAGTGAAAAAAAATGCCATTTGGCGGTCAAAAATGATCATTAGACATATGCACATCAAATTATCAGATATTTTATAGAGATTTTAACAATAAGTATAAATTTTGTTTACATGCCTATGGGTTCCGTACCAATGTTTATCCGTTAGACAGCGACGCGGCGCTTTACGCTTTATATTTTGTCTCTATGCAGTTCAAGCAGTACGATGCTTTGAAAAAAAGTTCAGATCTTCCAAAATATGTCAAAATAAAGAAAACATTTTTTTAGAATTATTTTTTCTAAAAAAATTTTTTTTTCAAGAGAAAGTAATTCTTTGTCCAATTTATAGTTTCTCAAAAATCTTATTTTTGTGAAGTAAAATTTTTTCAAAAATGTTAATCGTTTTTTAAAAAATAATAATTTTTGGTACGGGAAGTTCCTGCAATTTGCCTTAAGGCACGATGCCCTAATTGCCTTAAGACAGAATTCCACTTACAGCTAGTTTTCAAAGCAATCGTACTGCTTTAATGCATAGAGACTAAATATCGAAGCGCGTAAGCGCCGCGTCGCTGTCTAACGCATAAGCATATAAAATTTCAAAAAAAAAAATTGTTGCCAAATTTCCACAAAATTGAAAAAGTGCTCCCGCATAGTCACAGTCTAAACGCATTTGCAAATAATTCTGTGCGACATTTTGACTTATACTGTGCTTAGCTTGGCGGCATTTTCACATTTTTCAATAATTTTCACAAAATTGGAAAAGTGCCCCAATACATAAACAGTCTAAACGCACATGGGTAAACATTTGTACCAGAGTGGCGCTTAGACTGTGCTTAGCTTGGGTGATTTTTTGAATTTTTAATCCAAAATTACAAAAAAAATGTTTTGAAAAAAAAAGAAACAAAAAATTTTTTTTCCAAAATCAATTATTTTGTTGAAACAAGCAGAAAGTTCTTTAAGTCATTTAAATCGGACACTTAGTTCTCTCAAAAACTGCCATTTTTTTAACATTTAGCTCTGTATTTCCGGAACCGCTGTATTTCCGGAACCTACCTTTGCCAAAAACTAACCAGCACATCTCCCTATCAATAGGAATCGAATGTTTTTTAAACCATTCAAATCGGTTGATCCGTTCCCTCAAAAATTCGCTTTCTATTTTGTGCACTCTTTGCTCCATATCTCCGTAACGGCTGGACCTGCCTTTGCCAAAAACTAATCAGCACATCTCCCTATCAATAGGAATCGAATGTTTTTTAAACCATTCAAATCGGTTGATCCGTGCGCCCGAAAACGTGGACGAAAAAAAGCGGACATACAAAACACACACACACACACACATCCATTTTTTCTGAAGTATGCCAAGATGTTCAGAAACCTTCAAAACGTCGAGAAATGTAAAAATTTTTGATTTCGATTTTTGGACGATTACAATAACTTACCCTACGGGAAGTTAATAAACTTAAATTTATTATTTTTCTGACTATTTTTTTAAATAAAAATTAATGCTACAAGCAAACTTCTTACACATTTCTAATTAATATTATCTGTCATTGAGAGTAAAATTGTCGATGAGAAATTAAATATAATTTGTGGCTACTATATATTTTGATATTGTTTAGAAAACGTTTAGGAAACTAAAAAGTTGTTTTAATTTAGAAAAATAAATAAATGCATAAATATATGTGTATTTGTAATATTTAATTGCGACTGTTAATAATAATTCATTGCCAGAGATCATTCATGCTCAATAATTATAATTATCATACATAATTATACATATATCTGCATGAGATCTATACAGAAATTACTTATTATTATGTATTTTTTTATAGTAAAGAGAGTAGTAGCTAAAAATAATCGCAAAATTATTGTAAAATGATTAGAGTAGATATCTATTCAAGTAGAGCTGACTAAAAAGTCAATGGGCTGAGCCGTTTCTTACCAATTAAAAATGCATTTTTTTTTAAATATTTAAAACCGCTCAAGATTAATTAGTTAGAAACCGTGATGATTAGTTTCGGTAAAGGCAGACCTATTCGCTTCTTTGTGATTAATGGTTATAATTTTTTTTAAATAATTTTGATGAAATTTTATTACCCTACAAAAAGTAAAATTAGCATACAAATTTATCATTATTTGGAAGGCCAAAACGGAATTTCAAAATTATTTAGTCATAAATTTGAAAAAGACTAAATATTAATTTTTAATAAATAAATAAATAAATAACCTATCAGAAAGTTTTTCAAATTTGACTTAAAGCAAAATGTCACTTACACCAAGTGTTTTGTCATTTTTAATTATTTTTTCAAAGCCTAAATGATTACTGAATGCTAATAATGCTCATGATCCAGCAAGCTAGGTTATTAAATAAATGCTATCAATATTTTTGTTTTATATAATTGATAGTGCTTTTTCACTTGAGTTTTTTTATAGAATTTTTTAACCAATTTTTGCAAGATGAGATTTACTTCAGCTAATTTATTGAAGGTGAGGTACATATACTGAAGTATCAGATACAACAAATGTTAAAATCCACTATTTTTTCACAGGAATCGTGTAAAAGCGTAGCGGAAAAAGTTCCAAAGAACTTTGTCAAATTTTCCAATGGAAATATATTCCCTCAACTGGGTTTAGGAACATTTAAGGTTTGTTGATTCAAATAACAATAATTGTAATTTATTATTTTAACTTAATTAATTCATTGACAGTCGGAACCTAAGAAAGTAACTCAGGCTGTAAAAGATGCAATTGATGTTGGATATAGACATATTGACTGTGCTCATGTTTACCAAAATGAAAAGGAAGTTGGCAAAGGCATCAAAGCTAAAATTAGTGAAGGCGTAATTAAAAGGTTAATATTATTTACTAATAAATGTAAGTGACATATTGCCTTGAGGCAAGTTCCATTAATTCGAGTAAATAATTGACTTAATCAATACGAATTAGGATTTAGCTGTAACTTTTTATTTAAAATTTTGTTGTACTTGAAATTAATTGAACTCATTTCCAAATAATATTTTTCATTAAACTCATTATCTGTGTCTGTAGTTGCACTACTTAAGTCATTTTATTTAACACATTTCATTCTACTTCATGTTCCAAAAATGCAATTTATTTAAGTGTGGACGTCAACGGTAATCAGGTACAAAACATAGAACTGAACATGTACATGGCGTAAATTTTAAGTGCGACGTTCATTATCCCAAATTTTACGTTTTTTTTAAATTTAACCACTTATCGTAGGCCAATAATATTTTATTATAATCATACAAAATTTCACCAAAAGCTTTAAACAATTTCATCTAATTATGAAATTATAATTAGCACGATTTCCAACTGTTATCAATCAAAAAGTTTAACTATTTTCAAAATTATTTTAAGATTTTTGGCAAAAGCGTTGGAAGATTTTGCACTTTTACACACATGCTTTTTCAAATCTGTACTCAAACGATTCGGAATGACTTTAAGCGTCAAACAAACAAAGAAATTTTACAACAGATAAATTAACAGAGTCCACTACCATTATTTCAAAAACATGTAAATTATGGTATTTTCTAATGATACTATTTTAAAGTATAAGGCAAAAGATATGTAACTACTCGCCTGCATTTTTAAGACGTCACCATTAGGAGATAAATGATTATATGACACTATTCATTACAAAAGTGTTTTTATCTTTTGGCAGTTTTTTGATTTTGGTTTCTTTTATCTTTATTATGATATCAGATTATAATTTTTAAATTAACGTTATTCAATTGTTTATTAAGTTTTGTTATTTTTAAATTATATCCAAAAGTTTTTTTATATAACCGAATTTTATGTAACCAAGTAATGAATAGGATACATGTGGTAGGGGTAAAAAGAACCAACTAAACTTTTACACTGGCAAAGGTGTAAACAATAGGAAAATGGTACTGTTTATTTTATTTTTTTAAATTATTTATGCAACAATATATATACAACTGACCTACATAGACATTAAGTAAATCTTGTACAATTATATATAAAAAATGGCATCGATATATAAATAGTGAAAAATTTTCCTTTATAAGAAGTAATGTAAGAAAAGAATAAATTAAATAAGTAAAATAAGCAATTTTACAAGATATAAAATAAATTAATAATTCTTCCAACTCTGCTGATGAATATTTCTGACAAAATATCAGATCTAGGTTATACACAATGTGATTTTAGTAAAAAATGTGCAGATGAAGTTTGTATGTTGCATTGGTTGAATAATGTAACTATTATTTAATAAAATTGTTTCCAAATTGACAATTGATTATTAGAGCTTTTTGCCCCTTGGCTGTTGCTTTTCACCCTGCCAACGAGGTAAAACAAACAAATTTTAGTTCAATAGTAAAAAAAAAGGATTGTGATGTAGTTCACTTGGCATAGACAGTATATTTGATAAAAGTCAAATTAGATTAATGATTAATTTATAAATGATAAAATATACTTCAGAATAATCCCACATTAATAGAATGTTGCCAACTCTCATTTTTTAATAAAATATTTAATATTGTTAAATTTTATTTTCAGAGAAGAACTTTATGTAACCGGTAAACTATGGAATACCTTTCACAGACCTGATTTGGTGAGACCAGCATTGATGACCACTCTTGAAGATTTGGGATTAGATTACATCGATATGTACTTGATACATTGGCCAATGGCATACAAGGTTCGATTAATTGTTACTTTTTGATTGAAAGACTTGAATTTTGATTTTCATCTACAAAATTTGATTTTGCACTCTTATAAACTTGCTTACAGAATGCTTACCATCCTTTGTTAAAAAAAAACAATATTTTTACAAAGGTTTTTAATTAAAATTTTTGAGCAGGGCACAAAAGTTTTTTTGAACTTTACTAGTATAGAGTGGAGCGGGTCTTACAGTCAACGGGTGAAAAATAACCAAAAATTACTCCAAAACAAGTAACGTTTGAATTTTTAATGATACTATTTTAAAGTAGAGAAAAAAATATTTGTCACCAGCCACCGCCTTTATTTGGCCGATGTTGCTCTTAAGAGCTAAACGGTCGCATTGCCAATTTTTTAGCAAAAGTATTTTTTCCGTTGTGTGTCTTTTTGTTTTTGAGCAGGGTTGTTTAGTTTACTCTACCGGAATATAATTTTAAAATACATTTTTTAAGTAATAAAAGATGTATGTAAGATCAATAGTTTTTTTTAATATAACCTTTAGAATAGCTAACATGTGGTTGGGTTAGAACGACCACCTACTTTTTGCACACACAAGGTTTAAATAATAAGAATTTAAAATAAATTAAAACTTCAAAATGAATTTAAAATAATTTGAACAATAAGATTAAAATAAAAAAAGTATTTTTATAATAGATAAATTAAATTAATAGTTATTCCAATTCGGATGGTGAATTCATCATACAAAGTTTCATGCAAAGGCTGTATGCCCCCATGCTGTGTGCTGTATTATCTTTATAAAAAATACCCAATAATATAAATATATGCATTTCAAAGAGAAGTTGTATTCACTTCATTTGCAATAATTGTATTTCAAGAAACAATGAGTCTAATTATGATAAATTAAATAGATATATACCTATAAAGCAAGATAGTAGTAAATTTTCATAATATTTTTGTTCATTATGTTTTAAAAGGCTATTTTGGCACATTTTTACAAAGATCGCTTAGCATACAAGATATCCTTCGTACGTAACTTTGTCAGAAGAATTCATCATAAAGTTGGATTTACTTTTAATTTAATTTGTTACTTTATTATTTAATTTCCTAACATTTTTCACTTTTTCATTGTCTTAATGTATCTATACGCTTTTACCTGTAACCTCTTTACCCCTTTTTTTTATAAAAAATATAGTTGAATCTAACTTGGAAAATAACATTAATTCAGTTAAATTAAATTCAATGAATATTAAAACGAATGTTTAAACATTATTTTCGGGTACCGTAAACGAAACAAAAGTGCTCAAAACCTAACATCGAAGAAAAATACTATTGTTAAAATAATTGACAATGTGTTCCAACAGTGATGGCTGGTTACACATCTTTTACTCTCTACTTTAAAATATCTTTAAAAATAGCATATTGTACTCTTTAATAGATGCATTAACGAGGAATTTACTTTATTATTTTGTGAAACGCGCAATTTAAGTATTTTCTATAATCAGCATAAGTTTTACTACACTTCTAAGATATTTTCAATCAAAGAATTGTCTGCTCATAGAGAATTACTACTTTTCAAATATTTTGTTTCTTTTCATAATTATAAATTATTATATTCACTCATAGGAAGGAGGGGCATTATTTCCAACGCCAAACCCAAATAGTCCAAAACTGCAGTTTTCCGACGTGGATTATTTGTGCACTTGGCAAGAAATGGAAAAAGCTTATCACGAAGGTTTATGTGTTAATATTGGCGTGTCTAATTTTAATTCAAAACAATTACAGAGATTAATTGATAACTGTAATGTGAAGCCGGTGAACAATCAGGTAAAAATATAACAGAAATAGTAAAAAAAATATTTTTAATTTCTGCAATCACTTGCAGTAATCTTTTTTGTAATTTAATAGTGATAGATAAAAATAACCCTAAGATATATTTTAAAAGTAATATAGAAGAGAAAATGTGCTACAAAATACAACGATTTCTCTTATTTTTTTATTGAGCACTTTTTATACAAAAGAGATAACCCTATTCCAAAGTTTTCAACGAATCGAAAAATACGGCATTATGGGGCCAATTCTGTGTAACATAGTCGATAACATAGCGTCGTTATAGCAACGTTATCTTATCCTTCTTTCTTGGTACTAAAAACTGTGAAAATTATATTTGTTGTGCGATCAAGCATATTAGATATAAATCCTTACATTATAAATGCGCATCACAAAGATGCAGTTATGACATCATTCTTGAAAATTTGTTTATATGTAAAATACGTCTGATTGCACAGCAAATAGATAGCGTTTTCATAGTTTTAGAAGCAAGAAACAAGTACAAGTAACCACCGCATAACACTGTACTTATATAACACGGATTTGCTCTAACACGGTTTAAGAATTGATATCATCCCCTTTATAACACGGTACTTTTAAAGCATGGGTTTGCTCTAACACGGTTTGAGAATTGAGCAAAACACTAAAAAAATAAAAATTATTGTAAAACGTATGAAAATTAAACTTTATTTAATATAAAATTAGTAAAATCACAGTACAATAGCTCAATAAATGTAATTGAACTAGTGCAAAAATAACTAATTTGATATTATTGTTATTCGAACGCGATCGTTCTATAGAAAAAAAAATTCTAGACTTATCCGAACAATTAGTCAATCGATCTTAAACTAGTGGGGCGCATTGGCATCGTGCCTTAAGGCAAATTGCTGGAACTTCCCGTACCAAAAGTTATTATTTTTTAAAAAACGTTTAACCTTTTTGAAAAAAAATTACTTCGAAAAAAATAGATTTTTGAGAAACTATAAATTTGACAAAAAATTATTTTTTTTTGAGAAAAAAAAATTTTTTTTTGAAAACAAATTTTTTTTGAAAAAAAAAATGTTTTCTTCATTTTGACATATTTTGGAAATTCTGAACTTTTTTTCAAAGCAATCGTACTGCTTGAATTGCATAGAGACGAAATATCGAAGCGCGTAAGCAATGCGCCGTCGTCTAACGGATAAACATTAGTACGGAACCCTTAGGAATGTAAACAAAATTTAAACTTATTGTTAAAATCTCTATAGAATATCTGATAATTTGATGTGAATATGTCTAATGATCATTTTTGACTGCCAAATGGCACTTTTTTACTTTCTTCATTGGGTCTCCGAAACCGATAGACCTGCTACAATTCTTCATCTTGTCAATACAAGTAGAATGTTCTCTTAAAAACCGAGTTACCATTTTTGGCACGTTTTGCCCCGTATCTTCGAAATGGCTAGGCCTGCCTTCGCCAAAAACTAATCAGCACGTCTCCTTATCAATACGAATCAAATGTTTTTTGAATTATTCAAATCCCTTCATCCATGTTCCCGAAATCGTCGACAAAAATTTGTATCCGCACACACATATACACGCACACACACACACATACATCCATTTTTTCCAAGGTATGCCAAAATATACAGAAGGTTCTGAAACGTAACGTTATATAAAAATTTTCATTTTCAATTTTTTTTTCCGATTACTATAACTTGCCCTACGAGAAGTTAAAAAAATGATCGTGTTCGATAACACTTATATTACTTGAATTTGAATAATAAAAATGATACCATTTTTATAATATTTTTTTATATTTTCTTTCAGATTGAAGTTCATCCGTATCTAAACCAAGCTTGTCTGAGACAGTTTTGTCACTGTCACAATATTATCACAACATCTTACAGCCCATTGGGGTCTCCAGATAGACCATGGGCAAAAGCTGAAGATAAAAAAGTTCTTGACGATGAATGGATGAAAAAACGTGCGAAGGAGCTTAACAAGTCCCCTGCGCTACTAAGTCTTAGGTAATAATAATGATATTTTTATGCTTTTCGTTGTTGAATATGAATTAATATTTATTATTTTAAATTCCTATCAAGGCAAATAATATTTGCAGCGCCTTTCAAATGCAGAAATTATTTGTAATATCAAAATAGATCTATAATAGTCAGTGTTTTATCTAGTTTACACTTTTAAATCTGTGATGTTTAATTAGCTCCATTAGTCAGCGGAAATAATTATTTTGTTGTAATACACTTTAGAAAAAACTTTATTTTTGGCATCTAAATACTTTTGCTTCTCATAGCCATTTTTAAATAATAACGGTAATTAATTTTTTCCTTTTCCTAATAAAACTGATATAAGTATGTGCCCAGTATTGCGACTGAATTTATCATAACTTATAAATACAAATAAAATATATCATAAAAATTAACAATATTAAAAACTCTATTTAGAAGAGGGAGCTCGCAATCTATAACATCTAGGTAGACAAATTTTAAAATTTCTTCATAATCACTATTAAGGCAGTTAGTACTAAGCATTGTAAATTTTTTTGAGAGTCAATAGTTTTGTACCAAATATAAATATGTTTTAAAAATCAGTTTTTTTTTCGAATTGAGAAAATAAATTCTAATAAGAAAATAATTAAGAGATACAAATTTCCTTAGGCTATTCAGCTTTCAGTGTCTCCTTAAAATTAAATAATATAGCAATATATGATATATTCCAAAAAAATTCTACGAAACAAGAATAATAATAAGATTCCGGAAATGTTTTTTAAAAAATCTAAAGATAGTTTTATTGCTTTATATTAAATGTGATTATATATTAATAGGCCTTCAATTAATATAATTTAATAAATAAACAAAATCATACCTATTCGTGAGGATAATCGATCAATATAGATTAGTATTAAAAAAAAAATTCTTGAAATGTATAATTAATTTGTCCTGAATTACCAACTGCTCAAAAGCACTGAAGATTTATTATAGAAATATACAAAGAATAAATATTTCAGGTGGAATTATCAACTAGGTAACATTATAATACCGATGTCCATGGTAAAAGCACAAATAGAGGAAAATTTCAAAGTTCTGGACTTTGAACTTACGGCCGAAGATATGGAACATTTTAATAAAATGGATCAAGGATACAGGCTTTATTCTCTATCCGAGTAAGTTCTGAAAATTAATTATGATCTAATTTGGCTTCCATAGAATATTTATATTTACATTTATTAAATTTCAGGATCCATGGACATAAGGACCATCCATTTGAGAAAGACGCATTTTAAATACAATCTATGCATAAAATTCAAAATGTTTGGAAATGATTTTTTCATGTTTTATAATTAATTTTCAAAAGTTTGCAAAATTTTATCCAAAATGCTATATTTATGAAACATATTTATGTTTTTAAATCATTTGCTGCTATTAAAATACGAGATCATAATATAATAGCCTTTCATTTATTAAGTGAGCAAGAAAATTGTTGTAACAGTTTTTTTTAATTAGGATATCTTGAGATCTACTGTTTATATTTTCACGAAAAAGAGATGAATAAATGCTAAAACTATACCCCTACCGAAGTAAGTAAAAACAATTCCATTGCTGTTATTAATTATTGAACATTTATTTATGTTCTAGAAAAAGTGCTAGAACTTTCCCCGTGTTTGTGCCTAGTTGGAATATCACAATAAAAGCTTATTTATTTTTAACAAAATTAACATATCATGTATGAGTGTTGCATATTTTTTATGTAACCGTATTCTATTCATTTTTGTGAATGCTTTCCCATATACTATATAATACCATTATTTTTCTTTGAGCATTCTATTTTATTTTTGCATATTTACCTTTCTATCAATCCCCTTCGGCTTTTATTTACCTTTTACATTAATATGATTTTTTTTATATGTTTCATTATATTCATCTTTTTCTCAAGATTTCTTTTTCAGTAGTATCAATCAATAGTAAACATTTTCTTTTGCATTTGCTATTTGTATTGGTTTTTCTTTTTACCGCCTTTGCCCGCCTAAACCAAAGTGTCTAATTTTCGATGGGTAAAAAGTATTGTAGATTACAGCAACTCGAAATTGGTTCGTTCAAAATTTTGATTGGATTTATAATTTCTATAGTTAGTAACGCATTTATTTACATCAAAACGTGGAGCATAATATATGTTACAACTAGCTCCAAGATTGTTATACAATTAACCTCAGATGTGAATTATTCACAATAATAAAAATAACTATTTAAACAATCAGCAATAGCAGACGCATTATCAAAGATTGATAAATTTGAAACGAAATACATATAAAAACAAAATTGCAAGCAAAAAAATCTTCAATTCTATTTTAGACTCAAAATATTTCCTTCAACCTGGAAACCGGCTAAATTAATATTAGTCCCAAAACCTGGTAAAGATCCGCATATCCTTTCAAACTACAGACCAATAAGTCCACTATCGTTATTGTCAAAAATATTCGAAAAATTCTTCCTGAATAGAATAAGGTCCTGTCTAGAAAACATAGAAGCAATACCTCAACACCAATTTGGATTCAGAGAGAAACATTCAACCATTGAACAAATACATCGCATTACAGACAAAATAATAAACTTACTTCAACAGAATTCTTTCTGCTCAGCGGATTTTCTAGATAATAGTCAAGTGTTTGACAAAGTGGGGAAACACGGCCTGTTATACAAAGTTAAGAAAATTTTTCACACGGAATCTTCACTCTACTGAAATCATACCCGACTAAGAGATTCTTTACTGTTAACATTAGAGACATGCATACTTCGCACTCTTGCCTGCTGCTGGTGTTCCGCAGGGAATTGACTTCGGACCATTTCTCTACTTAATTTTTACTGCAGATATCTCTCAAACTACTTCAACCACAATAGCCACTTACGCAGATGACACAGCAATACTTGCAATACATCAAGACCCATCAAAAGCATCTGCAAACCTACAGATTCATTTGTCAAAATCGAAGTCTTGTTTTCACCATGGAGATTCGAAGTCAACAATACCATTTCTATTCACATCACCTTTACTTTCAGGAAATATAGCTGTCCTCCAGTTAACTTGTTTAATTCAACTTCACAACAATCCAATGCCGTCAAGTTTATGGGATTGCATCTAGACTCGAAACTCACTTGTAAATATCACATACAAAAAAAAGACAATAACTCAGAGTCTCGTAGAAAACTTTACTGGCTATTGAACAGAAAATCCAGATTAACATCACGGAATAAGTTGCTACTGAATGAAGTAATGTTAAAGCCAATGTGGCCATACGGAATTCAAATGTGCGGAACATCAATGAAATCAAACATCACAATCATCCAAAGATTCCAAAATAAATTCCTGAAAGAAATAGTAAACGCTCCTAAGTATGTACCAAATTGGCTCATACTGAAAGACCTCAATATTAATACAATACATGAAGAATTCGCGTTTTATAGTAACAATTATAAAAAGAAAATCGTAAACCACTCAAATTAATGCGTAAAACAGCTCTTAAGGGTCCACAGGAATGAAAGATTCATTCATTCAAACAGCATAATATCATATCCGAACTCCCAATTAATAGTAATGTCCAAATGGATTGGCATCCGATTTAGACATTCTACGAAAAACCATAGAAAAATTTGCTGATATTTCATTATTTAATAGATGCAAATATATATATGTGAACTAGTGGGGCGCATGGCATTGTGCCTTAAGGCAAATTGCTGGAACTTCCCGTACCAACATATATTTTTTTGAATTGATTAACATTTTTGAAAAAAAAAATACTTCGACAAAATTGGATTTTTGAGAAACTATAAATTTTTTTCTTTATTTTGAAATATTTTGGAAGTTCTGAACTTCTTTCAAAGCGCCGCGTCGCCGTCTAACGGATAAACATTGGTACGGAACCCATAGGAATGTAAATAAAATTTATATTTATTGTTAAAATCTCTATAAAATATCTGATAATTTTATGTGCGTATGTGTAATGATAATTTTTGACCGCCAAATGGCATTTTTTTTACTTTTTTTACTAGATCTCCGAAACCGCTAGACCTGCCTGCATGAAAATTTAATCAGTTGTTTCATATGTTTTTTGAATTATTAAAATCGGACGCTCTCTTGAAAATTGAGTTACCATTTTTGGCACTTTTTGCCCCTTCGGAACGGCTAGACCTGCCTACGCCAAAACCTAATCAACACGTATACTTATCAATACGAATTGAATGTTTTTTGAATTATTCAAATCGGTTGATCGGTGTTCCCGAAATCGTTGGCGAAAATTTGTATCCGCACACACACACGCGCACACACATACATCCATTTTTTCTAAGGAATGCCAAAATGTTCAGAAATCTTTGAAACGTAAAGATATATAAAAATTTGCATTTTCGATTTTTTTGCGATTACTATAACTTACCGTACGGGAAGTTAATGAAAAAAACTAAGAAAAATATAATATAAATGAGTTAAAATATAATTAAACGATTGTTTTGTAATGAAGTTAATTCATTCGTGTATTTTATTATAAGTTTTTATAATTATACTTTTAGAACATAATATTTAAATAATAATTAAACTACCTTAATTAATTGTAATGAAATTGAGAGTTAAGCTAGCAATTAATTGTTATGAATCTTTTACAAATGTGATGAACTAAAGCGATTTTATATTGAACGACAACATAATTTTATTTTTATTAAAAACAATCATGAATTAAAGCTTACTGCAAAGATGATTACATTTTTGTACTGGTAATTGAATAATGAATTATAGATGAAGGTTGTGAATCTACATTGTGATGATATTTTGTGGTTTTGTTATAATACGTACATCTTTACATGTCTTGATTTGGTCTTGAAAATGTTCTAATGTTTGATCTAACATGCTGTAATAATTATTTATATATAAACTCATATTTATGCACACGGTGTGCCAACAACTGCATCTTTTACAGAAACTTTTAATATTCTATAATTTACTTCAGCCGGATTGATATCCCTGTAAATGAATAAAGGCATCCTGTCCGAAAGCACCCACACATTATCTTCATAGTCGACCTATGAAAAATAAATAAAGGGTTGAAAAATAAAAAAATAATATAATTATTTGAAAATACATAATTATTTGAGAATACGTGTGTAACCTTTAATAACTGTCGAAATATGATCGGAAATTTTTCAATCTATTGCCCAAATACAGATAAAAATCTGTTGAATCTAAGCTAAAACTAAAAATCCATATCATAATACAAATAAATAACATGAATTATAATAGATTTTTTACCCGTGGACCTATAAGCTCAGCTCTACCCTATATTTATATTAATTTTTATAGTTACATTTACCTTTTAAGTTCGTAGTGTCTATATATAATATAATTAAGTGAATGTCTAGTAAAAAAATAAAGAAAGTAACTTAAAAAAATCAAAAGATTGTTAAAGGTAATCAACCCGTAATAAAAATAAAAAATTGAACTCGTAATAAAAATTTAAGCTCTTACCTTTGAAAAATCTGAATTAATATTCAGTAGAAAATGTCCACAAAAACTAAAGACAAATTGTGTGGTGAGATGGTGCAAATTGAAGGTTACATGCAAGTATTTTTCAAACTCGCATTCAAAAACAAAAGAAAATGGATCCAATACATTAAAAAATAAGTGTTTTGGTTGGACAATCCTTGATAGAATAATTTTCGTTGATAAAAATAAAAAATAAAACTCGTAATAAAAATTTAAGCTCTTACGATTGCAAAATCTGAATTAAAATGCAGTAGAAAATGTTCACAAAAACTAAAGAAATTGGGAAGCGTAGTGAGAAGGTGCAAATTGAGGGTTACATGCAGTTTGTATTTTTCAAACTCCTATTTAAAAAAAAATTAAGAAAATGGATCCAATACATTAAAAAATAAGTGTTTAAGTTGGACTATTCTTGATGAAATTAGGTTTGTTTTTATGTAAAATAGAGCTTTTTCATACGCTCAAAACATCTTAAAGTTTATTCCAAAACGTTGTCTGATAGAAATCGAGATGAAAAACGATGTAATTACTATATTAATTTTTATTGCAAAATCAGATTGTAGTAAGATGGTGAAAATTTAGGGTTGTATGTGATTTTTATATACGTATTTTGAAAAAAAAACTACAAATTGACCCATCTAAGAAAAAAAATCTTCGGGGTGGACAACCCTTACCATTTGGTTTCAATCAAAATTAGCTAAAACATGTCTTGGGATATACCTTACAGCTTCAAAAATTTGATAGCAATTGGATATAGGATTTATGAATGCATAGAACATAGACAGACACACAGATATACACATATTTCAATAAGATAGTGTAAATACCTTTAAATCGTTTGGAAAAACTAATTTATAAGGATCTTGTGCAACAACTCCTTGTGTGAACTCATTATATGGTTTTCCAGAGTTCCAGCACGCTATTCCATCTTTGTTAACCTATTTGCATAACAAATGATTAAAAAACAGTAAATCAATATAAAACAAAAAGTTTTTCAAAATATTTGTTTATTACTTGAGTGTAGAATAGTACTCCTGAGTTCTCGTGAAGAAAACTTGCTGAGCTCTGTCCTTTTGGTCCTCGGTCACCAACAAGCTAAATAACATAAATATTAATTAATGATAAATATTTAGAATATAATGGTTATGCATTAATGCAATAAATTGCAATACAAACTTATGATATTCTTAATGTAATTCATTGATTTTTATAAAGATATAAAAAGTTTTGTTTTACTTAATAAAATTTAATTTTTACAACAGTAATTTTTGCAAGTAAAGACAAGTGAAGTATCCAAGGCAACTCTGACAAAAATTGTAACTGTTACATTTGTAGCTCTTTTATCGAACTGTTTATATTAATTTCATTTACAAAGTTTCAAATGTAGTACTCACCTTAAATTCATGATAAGCTTCAGGGCTGTGGGCCCAGGTTGAATTTTGCAATAATCTGGTAGAAACAGCAAACTCTTTTGTACTAGACATTGCGTGGAAGTAAGCTGTACGGTAACTATTCAAAAAAAGTATAACATTATTTGCAGCATTTACACCGTGTATGAAACATAAGTTTATTGAAATAATTTCTATATTATTCGCAGTTTCTATACATCTTTGAAGTTATTGAAATGGAAAATATTTTTTAGGCAAAACAGATATTGCAGCTGTTCAAAGAATGAGATTATATCGCCAGCAAAAAAAGTAAAAAAAATACCATTAGTCAATGAATATTTGTTAATTTTAATTACATGAAGTTCTTCAAACCCAATTACTACATGATGAGTGAAGTTGCGAAAACAATATTTATTTAGGCGTTGTTTAACATAATCCACTGTGTGAACGATTATTATAGAAGTTATTATACAGCAATTACTTTATTTCTCTGATGATTGTTCATTTCTAAATGCTACTTACAATGACAAACCGATCATGTCATATTTGAAGTATGATGTTTGCATATTATTAATGCTATTATAAATATATAATTTATAATTTATATATTAGTGTATAATAGTAGACACTAATGAATATGTACATTACGGGTGTTACCATATTACTAATAAACATTATTCAAAATTGTTATATGATGTTTTTATTTTTACTTAAATGCCATCTTGTACAGTAGCAAATAAGTTTTACTCCAATCGCGTGTGAACCTTACGCGCATTCATTATTCGGCTTGGTGTGGTTATTATAATATCTTAATGATTCAAAATAACGTGATAAATATTGATAATAAAATTGAATATATCGACTCATAGTCTTGAATTGAATAAGTAAATGAGAGAGATTTTAAATCTAGGTCTAGATAGTTAGAATCACAACTTCAACTATAAAAAAAAAGGAAATTTATTGCTATTTCATAAGTAAACTTTGAATTTGTATATTGAATCTGTAGGCAACTAGTAAAACAAAGCTTATCCAAAATTATATAATGAATGAACTCTATGGTGTAGGAGATGACACATATTAGTTTATTTGAACTATTGTCAATTGCAGAGTATTAGTATGAGTATGAGTATATAAAATTCAAACTACTATTTATTTTTCGAGAAAGTTGTAGATATATCTCAAATATTATACATTTTAAAGTTGTAGATATATCTCAAATATTATACATTTTGAGTAGAAGTAGAAATTTTATTTCTCATAAATTAGGAAAAATAAATAAGCAAACAAATGGCAATAAGACAATGAAAAGTTTGGCCAGTGCAAAATGTTACATATAACCTCAACTTCAATACTAAATTATTATTATTTTATTAAAATATGTATCTTACCCATCTGGTTGGTGTTTGGACAGAGCAATACCAAAAACTCCATCTGTCCACTGGAATTGAACACCAGCAATATCGTATTCCCCGGCAAGTGGTTCGAAATGGAAATAGTTGTGGGAAACTCGCCAAGAGTCATCGTCACGGAAGGAGTAAACTACTACTCCATAGGCTCCCAAATCAGGAATATAAGCAAATGCATCCTCGCAAGCATCGGGACGAACATCTACAACCTATGAGTAGAAATGTATCAATTAAAATAATTAAGTATCAAGCTATCTAAAATTATAACACAGCATATTTAAACTAAAACTAATGGTTTACAAAGGATCAGTAGAAACAAGTATTACTTGCAGTAACTAGAATAGAACTAGAGTTAAGGTAAGTTTCTATACAAAAAAATTAAAATGTACATATAAAATAACTTTCAACATCCAAAGTTTTTATAAACAAAGTGTTTTATTATAGTAACTTTTTGATACTTCTAGTTTGTCAATCCAATATAATACGGACAAAATGGTATATATAGTCAAAGTATATAAGTGGTCTTATTTAAATATTGGCGAGTTTTATTAACGTTTTTGCGACTATATGACGAGAAGTAAGCCATGATAACAATCCTATCAGATATTGAGCGTCATTGTCACAGTCTTGTCGCAGTAATCAGTTTATACGCGCTTTTTTTAGTTATTATATTTGTTACAACTGCTAAATAATTAACATATATCAGTAAATATCAAATATATTCACAGTAATAATCAAAGTATCAGTAATAATCAATTATATAAATTTAATAAGAAGAGCACAAAATAAAGGAATCTTCAATAAAATGATATCCGTAGTATGTTGATTTAATATAAAATAATGATAATAAAGCAAATAATAATAATAAAGTTAATAAGTGAATAAGTAAAATTTCTGAATAATAAAAATTATACTAGAAAAACAATGAAGTAGAAATGCCCCTATGAAAAGTTTATTTTGAGGGTACTTTTCTCACCTTTTTTGGGGATTTTTTTATTGATATTCGTAATTATTTCAATTAAAATCAATTAACTTGTGTCTGATAAAGTTTTGATTAATCATTCATTTTAGTTCAATTTCGCACAAAATGACATACTTTTACAATGGACAAAATGACATAGTACTATTTTGCAAAAATTACAGAGCCAAGAAAAAAAAATTAAAATCTGACAAAGGTGATTGACTTTTATCTTCTACTCGAAATATAGAGAAAATTGCTAAAAATAGACTAAAACGAGCACCGGTAAAAAGAAGGAACTAGCATTTGTTGCAACCCTATTAATTATATTTTTGGCGTAATTGAATTAAATTGTAATTAATTTTTTGATATTTGAATTTTTTTTAAACTTATTTATGCTAATTTTTGAGCATTTAGATTTAATATATCTATGTCTAGATATCTGACCGCAAATTTGTAACCTATTAAAAAATCGATAAAATTCTAAGACAATATATAATATCAATATTTGCTATACTTACCACATTAGCAAAGAAACTGTCTTCTTTAAGATCCGTTGGTTCAAAAGTGTATCTTTTGATTAGTTGATCCGTGTGCAGATCAAAAATCAAAAGAGCTGGTTTAGCATACACTTTTGGAGTACCTGCGAACAACAACACGATCTTTATAAATAATTGTTCTTTGTGAATAAAGATTTATTATAGTTTTTTTAATAGCAATCAGAACTATTCCGACTAACTTATCCTGTAAGCTGTTTGTTCAAGACTTAATCTTTTATGATAAGCATCCCATCGGTTAACCATGCTCCTATATGTGGCCATTATATTATTTATATATATGACAGTTCTGAGTATGTTGCAGCTATATCCTCAAAAGGCAATTTTCAATTGAGATTATATTTGAGAACTAAAACGTTAAATGGAAATTTGATAATATGTTTGATCTATGTTGCCTGATATCGAGCTTGGCCAAGGTTGGGATCGAACCCGGGACTAGTTTCTTTTAGCTTACGTCCATAAGTGATACACCACGAAAGGTTCCTTTTAAAGAGAGATGCAATTGTGCTAAAACTCTTATCTGTTGGACTATTTTACTTAAATATTATTATTTAATATTACAATTTTTGGTTTATTGTGAAGCTTCATCTAATGTTGATAAATAATAATAATGGAATTTATTTAACAGTTTGCATGAAAAGTCTATTTCTGTGCACGTTTCCTACACGTCAAATATGTTGCTGAACTGTTTGCTTAAGAAAACATAATTAAGTTAACATACATAGTTAAGCAAAAATAATTATTATAAGTCAACAGCCAAATTTAGGATTTTTACTTTTATTTATGCTTATGTTAATCAAAAAAGTAAATATTAGGTAAACAAATTTCAATTTTTTGCAATAAATCTTTTGAAGTAAAACTTTTTTTGAGTGCCAATGATTCTACATGAGTCGATTGTGATTGGTCGTCGTGTCGCTCTGTGAGAAAAGTAAGTTTATTGAAGTAATTTGTATTATTCGTGATTACTATATATTTTTGAGGTTATCAAAAAGGAAATTATTTTCATAGGCAAGACAGATACTACAGCTGCTCAAGGAATGAGACTGTATCGTAAGCGCAATTGTAAAAAAACAGAACCAAAAGACGTGTATATACTTGGCACCGCGATGGTGGAAATTGGCAAAACTGATATGACCTGATTTTTTGACGATTTTTTTGCTGTCGATTGGTGCAAACTAAAATTTTTTTGCTCTTTCCGTTCTCGAGATAAATGGGTGGGGCCAAATTCGGTGCTAACTATATATATAGTCAGCACCGATCCCTTTAAAAATGCAAAAAAATTAAAATTTCTTTTTACTATCGTTATCAGTGATTTTTTTGCTGTCGAATGATGCAATTAATTTTTGGAAAAGTTTTGCCCATCATAGATTTTCACGCATAGGAAAATTCCCAAATTTGCCAATTTAAAAAAATTGACAATTTTGAAAATGCCCAATTTTTTTGCTCGCTTACTTAAATATAAAACAAAAAAAATTTTTCCAAAAAATTCATTTTTTCACCCCTTTTCAGGGGGGTTGCCAATTTTTTCGGGTGGCCACAGGTCACTTTTTCAAAAATTTAAAAATTGTTTCGGAATCTGTGATTTTTTTGCTCTGCGATACAAAAAAGAAAAATTAAAAAAAATAAGTTTTAATTTTGATTTTTTTCGTAGTATGTTCAAACAAAGTTCTTCAAACACAACTACATGATAAATAAAATTGTGAAAACAATATTTATTTAGGCGTTGTTTAACATAATTCTCTGTATTTTTATAGATATTAAAACATATTAAAGCTTTATTGTATTATGCCGAAGATATATCTTTTCAGAATTATATCTCAAACACTTTTCGAAGTTTAAAGGAAGTCTACATGTTTTTCGATTATGATGAATATTAAGCATTACAAAAGTTACATATTTTTATAAATAATGAAAAATAAATTGATATTTAAATTTATTACTCTAAATAAGAAATCAAGTACAACAATAGTTTGTTTAGCTGTATATCATTTATATACAGATATACTTCACAATGGAAATCTATGCAGTTTATTCATTGATAGTGTTAATGAAATTACTCAAGATTGTTGTAAGTCTTCTGTGTGAACAATTATTATAGAATTGATGAAAATTGATGAATATCAGCAATTACTTCATTTCTCTAATAAAAGTCCAAGTCCTAAATGCTAATTGCAATGACAAACCGATCAGATCGTATTTGAAGTTGGGTTAAAAAGATTTATTATTCAATAATATATTGCATATAGGAAAAAAGTGAGTATATAGGATTTTGAATACCTATCTTATTTGAAATATAACTTCTTTTACTTTATTGTTTTCAAATATAAAATATATTTTTAATGCTATTATAAATATTAGTATTTATTATTATATAAATATGTATAATGGTTGACATTGAAAAATGTGTACATCACGAGTGATGCCATATTACTAAGAAACATTATTCAAAATGGGTATATGATGTATTTATTTTACTTAAATGCTATCTCGTACAGTAACAAAAAAGTTTTACTTCAATCTTAATCAACGTTTCATTCAACCTTACGCGCACTCTTTTTTTATTTAATACCATACCAAAGCAACTTATTTTGTTACTAACGATTATACTCCACATGGTTTGATTCTAAATTTAAGTACACTTTGCAATGAGTATTGCTACAATTTAATTAATATATTTTTTACCTAAAATGTCAACGAGTCCACAGTCCATCACCCACAATCTATCGCATTCATCCACGCGCACCCTGAAGGTCGAAATAATTGTTGAATTATCGACGAGACCATTAGATGAACTTTCGCCAGAACTAGGAGTTGTGTCATCTCCTTGGCCAGAAGAAGGCAATTTGTTAGCCTCCCAATTTGGATAAGGCACCAAATCAGGAGATTTGTTATCCAAAGCTTCAGTTAAGTTGACGTAATTCAATGTGGAAGCGACACCAGACTTCCATCTAAAAAAGTACAGGAAAATCAATTATACATTTTCTACAGAAAATCCAATGCACAAACTCTAAACCCAAACCACCTAATTCACATTTGTTTTGATAATTAATATGAGACAGCATGTAAAAAAAATTGATTATACGCTTTATAATTTGCATTGTTCCTTCTATTATACATGTATATAAAAAAGCAGTATAATGCGATTATTATAAAATATAAATTTGGGCGAGGAACAAAGATCCAAATTTGACTATTTACAATACAACAAAATACCACATATCAAACGAATAACTATCTGACTATGCACAGTGAAACTCCCAATATATTTATTATTCAAGCATGTAGAAATGTGTTTTTTGTGCTTTTCAATAATTTGTAACCTAGTCCAGGTAAAATGAGACGGAGAGGGGGAGTAAGCATGTCCAATGTCTTATTTTAATAATTTTAAAGGGATTTTACAAAATGATGGCTACATTATTCAACCCGAAATAATATAAATTTTATGAGTGCATTTTTTACACAGATAACACTGTGAATAACCTTAACCTGGTATTTTGTCAGTAATTTTTTTTATTTAATTTATCTTTTATAAAATTGCTTCTCCTAACTAAATTTACCTTATTTTTGCTTTTTTATATTTTTTACACCTTTGCCAGGGTTCAGTTGGTTCTTTTTACCTCACCCAAGTGCAAGCTTTTATAGAGGTTATATAAATAACAACTGTTAAATATGACTAAAAGTTAATAATACATTTTGTAAGACAATTAAATAAAGTATACTTAATAATTATAATAAGGAATCGTAAACTAAACAACACTACCAAAAAAATGCAAACAATGAAAGAAAATACTTTTGATATAAATGTTCAAACATTGGTTATATATCTTTTTCTCTCTACTTTCAAATATTGTTTAAATTCTTAACTTCATTTGTTTCTGAGATATCGCTGGTCTACCCTATATTATATTTCAAGATATACATTAAAATTATACATTAAAAGACATATAAAAATGCGGTCAAGCTAAAAATAATTAACCAATTGATTATTCTATGATAATTAATTCTAAGCTTACTCTAAATTTGAATAATCAATCATTAATTAAAATGTGGCTTCAGTTTGTATTATAAATCGATCTAATTATGAATTAATATATGTCAGAGCACTAAAAATATTTTATGCAAAATTATATTTTAACGTTGTTAGGTAACTTATGCCAAGAAATTGGATCATTGACATTTTAGATATATGGTTGCTTTTACAAAAATTGCTTATGTGTTTGTTAAAAGTTTTGTTTAAATATTGATTTATTAATTGAAAATTCAATATGCATGACAAGGAGACGTGCTGATTAGTTTTTGGCAGAGGCCGGTCTAGACATTTTGGAGATATGGAGCGAAAAGTGCAAAAAGTGCAAAAAATAGCAGTTTTTGAGAGAACGGAGCAATTAAAATGATTCAAATACCATTCTATTCGTGTTGACGAGGAGACGTGCTGATTAGTTTCGGCGAAGGCAGGTTCAGCCGTTCCGAAGATACCAAGAAAAAGTGCAATGGATAGTAGTTTTTGAGATAATCTTCGTACTAAATGATTCAAAAAAACATATTGCTTGCGTTGACGGTGTGAATAAAAAAATCCTTTTCACGTTGAATAATTATATGTTGTAAATATTCTTCAATTTTATTCATTGTCACATATTTTTTATGTGAATAGAAAGAGCGGATCGCGTTTCAGATATTTTGCAATATTTATTTTATAGCGGGCGTATGAATATGCAATCCACGTCATTCATTCAGGTTTGCAATAAAACGCATTCTAAATGCAAATGTGTTGATGAATACATTTCTGTACTGTCTCTTCCATAGTTAATTTATCCAAGAGATTAGAGACTGCTTCATACAAAACTATTTGAAAAATTAATTGATTATTTTAAATAATTGATAAAGTTTTCATTGTTTGTTAATATAGTTTAAATATTTGATTATTTATTTTTAACTAGATTATATATATGAACTAAGATTATTGGAAAAATAAGTTTTATCTATCATTCTTACATAATATTGAAAACTATAGTGGTCGCATGGCATCGTGCCTTCAGGCAAATTGCTGAAAGTTCCCGTACCAAAAATTATTTCTTTAAAAAAGATTATTTTTTTTAAACTTAAAAAAATAGATTTTTGAAAAAATTTAAATTTAAATTTTGGCATACCTTAGAAAAAATGCATGTATGTGTGTGTGTGCGGATACAAATTTTCATCGACGATTTCGGGAACACCGATCAACCGATTTGAATAATTCAAAAAACATTCGATTCGTATTGATAAGGGGACGTGCTGATTAGTTTTTGGCGAAGGCAGATCTAGCCGTTCCGAAGATACGGGCAAAAAAGTGCCAAAAACGGTAACTCAGTTTTGAAGAGAACGAACCGTCCAATTTTAATAATTCAAAAAACATTTTATTTGTATTGACAAGATGAACAACTGATTAAACTTCTTTGGGTTCCGTACCAAAATTTTTAATCACGGTACGGAAAGTTCCAGCAATTTGCCTTAAGGCGCGATGCCATGCATCCCACTAGTTTAACGTCTGTTTGTAATTAGCATTTTAATGAATATATTACAACTTTAAAAAATCAAAAAGTTGTTAGTCAACTAGATCATTTTCAGCTCTCGAAATATTAAGCAACTTGTCTTACCACTTACACTTTTATCATTATAATTATTTCAATATGGAAGAAAGTCATTAATTAAACTAATAAAAAAAACACTAAATAAATTATACCAAATTCACAAAAGAATAATTTGCATCGCCTAAAGCCATTTTGTTTGTATAAATATTCGTAACTTGTTTTCATACAATTCTACTATCTGATTATCAAACTATTTAAAAATTACGAAACGCACAGAACTAACTAACGACTTTTGAAACGCGCAAAGGTCAACATTATTAATTATATTGTTACAAACTAGTACTGATTTATAATCCACTATAAATGCTTTGATGACTTATTGTTATAATAGTAAATTTTGCACCAAAAAAGCAATTTTTATTATTTTGTGGATTTATGAACACAATATTATTATATATATAAAAAAAAACATTTTTTTCTTATTTTTTCCCGTGTTTTTTCAACTTCCGGTAATCGCAAAAAAATCGAAAATAAATTTTTTTATATTTCTTTACGTTTCGAAGGTTTCTGTACATTTTGGCATACCTTATAATTAGAAAAAATGGATGTATGTGTGTGTGCATGTGTGCGTGTATGTGTGTGCGTGTGTGTGTGCGGAAACAAATTTTTGTCGGCGATTTCGGGAACACCGATCAACCGATTTAAATAATTCAAAAAACATTCGATTCGTATTGATAAGAAGACGTGTTGATTAGTTTTTGGCGACGGTAGGTCTAGCCGTTCCGAAAAAACTGGGCAAAAAGTGTCAAAAACAGTAGCACGGTTTTTAAGAGAGCGGAGCGTCCGATTTTAAAAATTCAAAAAACATTTTACTTGTATTAACAAGATGGAGAACTGATCAAATTCTCATGAAGGCACTTCTAGCGGTTTCGGAGATCTAGTAAAAAAAGTAAAAAAAAAATGCCATGTGGCGGTCAAAAATGATCATTAGACATATGCACATTAAATTATTAGATATTTTATAGAGATTTTAACAATAAGTATAAATTTTGTTTACATTCCTATGGGTTCCGTACCAATGTTTATTCGTTAGACGGCGACGCGGCGCTTACGCGCTTTGATATTTCGTCTCTATGCAGTTAAAGCAGTAGTATTGCTTTGATAAAAAGTTCAGAATTTCCAAAATATTTCAAAATAATTTTTTTCCAAAAAGTTTTTTTTTTTTTTAAAAAGTAAATTTTTGTCAAAAAATATAGTTTCTCTAAAATCTAATTTTTTCAGAGTAAATTTTTTTCAGAAATGTTGATAATTTTTTAAAAACAACAATTTTTGATACGGGAAGTTCCAGCAGTTTGCCCTAAGGCACGGAGCCATGCGCCCCACTAGTTTTATATTTCAAAAACGTTTAAAATACTAAATGCTGTCTCGCGGTTACAGTGTTTAGAACGATTGAATCTAAATTGAGTCCCGGTCATGCCTCAAATATGACATGATCGGTTTGTCATTGTAATTAGCATTTAGAAATGCTAGAGAAATGAAATAATTGCTGATTTAAACTCTATAATATTCGTTCACACAGTGCCTAAACAAATATTGTTTTTGCAACTTCATTCATCATGTAATTGTGTTTGAAGAACTTCATAAATTTAAAATTAGCATACATTCATTGACTACTTGTATTTTTTTACGTTTTCGCTGGCGATATAATCTCATTCTTTGAACAGCTGCAATATCTGTTTTGCCTAAAAAATATTTTCCATTTCAATAACTTCAAAGATTTATAGAAACTACGAATAATATAGAAATAAGTTCTAATCAATAAACTTAGTACAAATGTTTAATTTGTTTTATTATTTTCAAGGAACATGGTAAAATATTCTTCTGATTCAGGCATTTTTCATTAAATCAAGATTTGTGCTACGATGTAACTTTAGAATGTTTATTTATCTATGCCGATTTCATTGTCGATATCGGTTGAACGATGTTATTCGGGTGGTTTGCAATAAGCTATATTTCACTATTTCTTATAATTACATTAAAATTCAAGTTTAAATCAGATTTTTCAACGTTATTATATATCGAAGTTTATAATCTGGATTCTAAAAAAAAGAAGATTAATTCAAAAGATAGAAAAAGTAAATATTTTGGTTTACACCTATGGAAGCAAAGTCGTTTCGATAAAAATTAGGGTGGAACGAAAAATAAAAGAACCGCGGGTATAAAGGTCTGCCACCGATCTGAAAAACAAGTATTAGGAACAACAATATTTGAAAGTAGAGAGAATATATAACAATAATAAACTAGCAAAATTTAGCTTTTCAACACAAAAGATTTAAACATATCAAAAACTGTAGTAATACGTTTATGGTGCCTTTGTTTCA